ACTTGGTAGGGTAGTCACTTGGAAAAGATTCAAAAAGATTCAAATGCTGTGATGTGTCTATACCAGGGGTAGGCAACCTTGGCTCTTTTATGACTCGTGGACTTCAACTCCCAGAATTCCTGAGCCAGCCATGTTGAATCAGGAATTCTGGGAGTTGAAGTCTACGAGTCATAAAAGAGCCAAGCTTGCCTACCCCTGGTCTATACCCACAAAGGCCAGAATTATGGACTCCACGGTATTCCCTCTGATGCTCTTTGGAAGCAAAAATTGGAGTCTGAAGAAGCAAGGTAGGGTGAGTATTGACACCTTTGAAATCAGAGAAGACTCCTGGGAATGATTTTTTTAAGTTAACTTATTTTAAAAAAGACAACGTAAACTTAAAGATAGTACAAGCATGGAATATTTCTTGGTTTCTCAAGACTAATGGCATGTTCACGTTTTGAGGACCTTCTAAAAGGCCAGCAGGATTGAGGCCAAGCTCAACTTGGAGCGAATTATGTTCCAGAGTCGTGTGCCACAGCACAAAAGGCTTTTTTCTAGATCCCACAACATGCCCTTTCTGCCAAACATGACGGGAACGGTTAGTGTCGTTGGGGAGAGGTGGTCTCTCAAATAATCTAGCCCCATCCCATGTCAGGCTTTAAAGGTCATAACTAGCACCTTGAATTGGACCCGGGAGATACTAGCAAGCAAAGCAGCTTGTTTCTTAGAGCACACATAACTGCTATGCTGCTGCATTTTGTACCAGCTGAAACATCTGGGTCCTCTTCAATGTTGCATTCATTCAGGAAGTGACTGGAGAATGAGTGACTGAGATTGGAGCCTCATGATCCAGGAAATAGTTCAACTGGTGCATAACACAAAAGCCCTCCTGGCTATGATTGCCACCTGTTCTTTGACTAGGAGTTGTTCATCAACCTTAAAACCTTAACCCTAACTCCATCCCCAATCCTAACCCTAGCCCAGATTTCATACTAGGTCTGTTTGGGGCAACTCCATCCAGCATCAAAGATGGTAAACCCCAAATATATAAAATCCCAGAAGCCAAAGCTATTCAGTCTTTCCGGGGGTCAGTCAAAGCTTATTGTTCCCCATCTGGATCCCCACAGCTTCCAGGCACTGAGAGAGGACATCAGCCACATCACTTAACTGACCTGGTGTGAAGATCCATAACTTACTTTTCTCCACGATGATGGATGATTTCACTCAGCAGCTTCATGTAGATATTTAAGAGTAGAAGAAAAAGTATGTGAGCCCCTGGATAAGGGCCAAGAGCTGCACTTCTTGCTACCAATTACACCAATTACACTAATTGGAACTACCAATAGTATGGTTGATGGTTTCGAAAACCACTGAGCGGTCGAGTCAAGATGGATGTCCAGTCAAGTTAATCTTTCATTGATGTCTAGGAGCACTCTACTTTTTCCTGTTTTATCCCCCTCAGCTCCTGCTCCTCCTCCTCCTGCTCCTCCTCCTCCTCCTCCTCCTCCTCCTCCTCCTCCTCCTCCTCCTCCTCCTCCTCTTCTTCTTCTTCTTCTTCTTCTTCTTCTTCTTCTTCTTCTTCTTCTTCTTCTTCTTCTTCTTCTTCTTCCTCCTCCTCCTCCTCCTCCTCCTCCTCCTCCTCTTCATCATCATCATCATCATCATCATCATCATCATTATTATTATATGGGAGGTCTTATTATAGACTTAGCATCAAGCCTAGGCACCACAGGTCTGCTGACCAAATAGAAGGAATGAGCATAAAGAGATGGAACATGAAACCAGAAACAGCAATCAATCAGCAAAAATAGCAATTCATCTTTGATTATTTCTTTAAAAAAATCCCCCAAGTAGTTTTATATCTGAAATTGAGTATGAGAAATGGGTGACCAATAAATGAAATAAAATAAATGGTATGGAACCCTTTATCAACAAACTTGAGTTCGGGGTACGCTAATTAAGTTAACTTAATTAAATAGCTGTGTAGATTCTTAGTCATCCAGGTATGGTTGTCCCAAAGGTGTTTATTCCCCACCATCCAGTCAGAGCTGAAGAAGCTTCTTGGATGAGAAGCGAAGCATCTTCAAAGAAAAACAAGAAAGTCCAGTTGCCTCCTGAAAAAGCACCTTTGGGTTAACTTCAGGGGTAGTCAACCTTGGCTCTTTTATGACTCGTGGACTTCAACTGCCAGAATTCCTGAGCCAGCATAGCTGGCTCAGGAATTCTGGGAGTTGAAGTCCACGAGTCATAAAAGAGCCAAGGTTGCCTACCCGACTTAAGTTGTAAAAACATACAGTTTCAGTTCCTTATTCTCTGTCCCACCTAAACTACTTTTGAGATCCATCTCTGACATTTGTAACCAGCCTTGTGCATCCTATAGAAATGAATTCCATGTACATAACAATAGACCTCTGTGAACCTGCAGGTGGAAGCCCTTCTCTTCACAAAAGTAAAAGCTCTCCCTTCACAAAGCACCAGGATGCAGCTGATTTGCTTCATTTATCACTTCAGTTCAAAATAATGGCTTCCCTGCAGGCATAAAAGCTCTTCTCATTGGCACGGAGTGATGTAAAGCAGTTATTTGCTCCAACGTTGACAAGACAAGCTATATCCTTTCACTTAGATCAAAGCAAAGCACCCACTTGAAAATTTGACAATCCCCACTAATACCGGTTAATACAATTAATGCAAAACCCAGCTAGGGGGCAGCATCTAGCTGACCGTAGCTGATATTGAAAAATGTAAGCAGAATCAGATCTGGTTAATTGCTCCGATCTGGCACGTCCAGGAAATTATGGATTATGTGCTGTAGACTAGGATATTGAATGCAAGCATCCTGAAATAAGTTAATGGCAAACATTTCTGCAGGCAAGAAATTAAAAGACGCTTGCTCCTGGGGAGGAAAGCTATGGCAAATCTAGACAGCATACTAAAAAGCAGAGACATCACTCTGCCAACAAAAGTATGTATAGTCAAGGCCATGGTTTTCCCAGTTGCAATGTATGGCTGTGAAAGTTGGACCATAAGAAAGGCTGAGCGCCAAAGAACTGAGGCCTTTGAACTATGGTGCTGGAGAAGACTCCTGCGAGTCCCCTAGACTGCAAGGTGATCAAACCGGTCTGTCCTAGAGGAGATCAACCCTGACTGCTCTTTAGAAGGCCAGATCCTGAAGTTGAAACTCAAGTACTTTGGCCACCTAATGAGAAGGAAGGACTCACTGGAGAAGAGCCTAATGCTGGGAAAGATTGAGGGCAATAGAAGAAGGGGACGACAGAGAATGAGGTGGCTGGATGGAGCCACTGAAGCAGTAGGCGTGAGCTTAAAATGGACTCCAGAAGATGGTAGAGGACAGGAAGGCCTGGAGGAACATTGTCCATGGGGTCGTGATGGGTCGGACACGACTTTGCAACTAACAACAAATCCTGAAATAAGTTAATGGCAAATCATTTCTATCATACTACAACAAGCCTATATGGAAATGTTCATGCTGTCCCCTAGAATTGACTGCAACTCAAAGAAGCCTTTACCTTTTAATTTACATGTTGCATGAATTTCTGAATCTAATACCAAACATCTTAATTGGGTAATCTTGGATTCAAGCACTTTGAAAGTAGAAATAACATTTCTATTTCTTTTCTATTTCTATTCCCATGTACAGCTAACACATAAAGAGCATACGAGAATAAAAAAAATGACCTTTAACACTCCACAGGGACAATTATTAGAAGAAGCAAAAAAAAGGAAAGAAAGAAAGATCATTCCTGCTACACCTGACACAAGCTACAACCAACATTTAAAATTGTTAAGCGACAGCAATCAAGCAAAACTACTTTTACAGTGAATTAGCTTGTTTACAAATATTTAAAAGTAAAACTCCTTTGAAGTTTGCAGCTGCAAAAGAAAAGGCCAATGTTTCTAGCAGTCCCCAAACTTTGCGGGCTTGGTGGCCCGGTTGGAGGGGGGGGGTAGAAGGGAACCGGGGTGCTTGAACAGTGGGCTGGCACACATGAGCGCATGTGACTCAACTGATGTGAGCAGCAGGCTGGCGCGCACGCAGCTCGACTTGTGCAAGTCAGGCTCGCATGTGTGCGCATGCATGTCGGCCCGCCACTCACGCAGCCCAGTTGCAAGTCAGTTGCAGCTTGGTAGTGGGCCACAGCCCAGGGGTTGGGGACCCCTATATTAGACTACAGAGGAGTTGGGTTTACTTGAGTACAAGGGTAACTTGGGAATAACAATAACCACAGCAACAGCAACAAAAACAACAAAGGTGTAGCGTGTTTAGTGAGCACAGAAAAAGTAACTGTAAGAGTAAAACACAGAAAAAGTGAAATTTGAACAGTGATATCTGGTTCATCATCACATTATCTCACTAATGCCTAATACTGAGCTTCTATGACAACTGTTCTTCTTTGACCACCCTTATTTATGAAAATACAACTTTGCTAGTTGATAGTTTTCTGAAGATAAACGCTATTTTAGGAACAATATACTGACAGCGTAAGGCTACCCAAACGATCCATGTAGTATATCAAGTGTATATGTAAGCATATACACACTCATGTGCACACATATACACACGCACACTAATATACTGAAGGTTATTAAAGTCAAGGAAAGGATAAGATGACCAGTGAAACAGTTTATTGACTATATTATTCTTAATTACTGATACTCATGAAATCAAACCAATATATGTATTTTTTTGATCCACACTAGAATTCTCATTGGGTCCTTAGTGCTCTCTGAGTTTGGTGTTTTTTGCAGATGTTTCATTACCAAACTAGGTAACATCATCAGAGCGTCTAGCATTGATGGTTTTACCCAGTTTGCTAATGAAACATCTGCAAAAAAACAGACAAACGAACAGCCAAGCTCAGAGAACACCGAGAGCCCCACACCCAGTTCAACCCTGAGCTACATATATTTTCTTTTTATGTTTTATTTTTATTACCAGCATTTTCTAAGAAGCAGTTTAAAAAGAATTAACCACAGGCAGAATTAATTTTATTTCTCACCTCCTCCAAAGGGTGCCCATATAACCCTGCGGATGGACCTCACCCAATCCTCCATGTCATTCTGAGTGGTGGCCATAAGGAGGTAGGTCTCATGATTTGATGTCATTCGTTCTCTGTCTCCTCCTACAAAACGAAAAAAACAACACTGTAAAGAAAACTGTTGTCTTTTGACGCAAATATTCACTTATGTCACCGCTGGAAAACCCAGCTGCAGAATCACGACCGAGCAGTAACCAAATCATGGATAGTTCATTACCCAAAAGGCGGGGGGAAACCCCTCTTATTGCTGGAATTGGAATTGCTTATTTATGAAGTATGAAGTCCTCTCTTCGTTGGCCAGAATGTTTTTCAAAATATATCTAATACTAGGGAGGTCTGGGGTGTTAGGTTTCTATTAAAGGTAACCTGCCTGCAGTTATTGATCATCTCTTGCAGTACACAATTGCAAGACAACAATTAGGGTTTGAAGCAGAAAGGTTCAGCTTGAATATTCAGTTCTGCTCAACAGATTTGATAAATGAAATGAGAAGATTGGTACAGGAGTACTTAAAAAAAACCCAAAAAAAAACAAAAACCAATTGGGATGCTGTAGTGATGAAGTTTACCACTGGATGAAATTGTCCCCTGCTCCAAGCACCTCAAAAGAACACACAACTGGTGTCCAAACACTTTAAAAATATTATTTCCCTTGAAAAAGTGCTCCAGTGGCCTAAGAATTCATTCAGATCACGACAGACACAGAGGTGATGGCCAGGCCTGGTCACTGATTCAAAACGAACGAGTAAATAACCCTAAAACGCATTGACCTCAGCTGGCAAATTACAGGTAATCCTCGGCTTATGACCACAATTGAGTCCAAAATTTATGTTGTTAGGCAAGACAGTTGTTAAGTGAATATTGCCCCATTTTACGACTGTTCTTGCCACAGTTGTGAAGTGAATCACTGCAGTTGTAAAGTTAGTCACACGGTTGTTAAATGAATCTGGCTTCCCCATTGACTTTGCTTGTCAGAAGGTCGCAAAAGGGGATCACGTGACCCTGGGACACTGCAACCGTCATAAGTATGAACCAATTGCCGAGCATCTGAATGTTGATCACGTGACTTTGGGAAGGCTGCAATGGTCCTAAGCGTGAAAAACGGTCATAAGTCACTTTTTTCAGGACTGTTGTAACTTTGAATGGTCACTAAATGAACTGTTGTAAATCAAGGACTATCTGCATGGTGAAAAAGAATTTCTGAAGACAGAAAGTAGGGTTAGTGAGTTACTATTTCCTGCCAAAGATACCTTCCTTCCTCCCTCCCTCAGTAATTCTCTCTCTCTCTCTCATTCTCTCTCTCTTTCATGTTTCCCACAAGTAACATGATAGAAGTTCTGTTTCCAACACTGAGATTATTCCCATTTGCTAACATCTGATGGGAACAGTTGGGATATTAAATAAAAGAACCATATATATAGCTTTCTCTCTTAAAACTCATCTGAGAAACAATTATGATTTTAGTAGATTGTACAGCTTCTGCTCCGGAATACTGGTGAGAAAACACGTCCATATTGTGCAAGCTACGATACTAATAAAGTACAGTTTACACATAGAATGGCATTCTCATGTGGGTATTTTTTTTACTTTTTTTTTTTGTCTTTGACATGGGCTTCAAAGCAATTTACATGAAAAGCATCCAATATTATTTCATTCCTCTGTCAAATGAAATAATTTTAATTGAAATCTTAAAATTGGCAGGAGCAGAGGTAAAACCTTCTCTTGTATATTAAAAGCCGGTGCGTGTTTAGCAAAATGAAAACATTTTCTCTGCTCTGCTGAACAACAAGGAAGGAGCTAATTATCTCATCTCATTTGGGAAGAAAGTCATGTATAAATAAACATGTAACCTATGCCCCCATTTTACAGAATGGTTTTTTTTTTTTAAACAGGGGAGTGGAGTGAGTGTAGTAGGACATAGCACGGTGGGACCAGATTGCTCACCTGATCTTTTGAAATCCTCACTAAATAAAAAATAAAAATAAAAAAATGAAAGCTTGCCAGATTGCAGAAGCTCAGTACATCTCATGCAAACACATCAAAATCTCATCAAATCTTGATAATTTCACACAAGGTGGTCACCACATTATAAACAAGATGCTGAGACTGAGTGCAGAGAAGAGCAACTAAGATGATTCCGGGCCTGGAGGCTAAAACATATGAAGAACAGTTGCAAGAATTGGGTATGCCAGTTTAATGAAAAGAAGGACTAAGGGTGACATCATCATCATCATC